CCATCCATCCATCCATCCATCCATCCATCCATCCATCCATCCATCCACTTATCCATATATCCATCCACACATCCGTTATCTCTGCCCTGCTTCTTGCATGTACTGTTGCAAGAGTCCAACATGATCATGTGGCCAAGTGCCCTTGGTAAAACTCTTGGCATAATGGTCCTTATCATGGGCCTCTGACCTCCCCAGAGCACGTTGCCATGATGTCAGCCTTCTAAAGGCTCATCTAACCACAGAGCAACCCTGCTTCCAGCTCCAAGAATAGCACATGTAAGCCACCAGTGTTCCCCACCCCAGGTAACCCTGTTGCCCTCTGGCATGGGTCTCAGGAGATGACTGCCATGCCAACCTGCCTGAGTCCACCAGCTGGCCCATTTAAGTCCTGAGTCGACACATCCCAGACACCCAGAGACTGGTATTTGAGCAGCTGTGCTTGGTACACACACACACACACACACACACACACACACACACACACACACGAGCCCATTGGTCCCTCCCTGATGTGTACACAGTCTCCTCCCTGCAGACAGCAGTTACTCACATGTGTGCACTAAGCGGGACGGCCCAGAGACCTACCTTCTCTGAGACGGCTGACCAATGGGAACGATCTTATCCTCATAGAACCGCTTCATTGCAAACCGGTCCAGAGCCTGGTCCGCACTACAAGGAGTGACAAGTGGCCAGAGGAGATGAGTCCCATGTCCAAGAGCCCTTGGCCCCCACCCCTACACCTCCCTGCCCACAGAGCCCTCCCTGGTGCCTAGTGGGAGGAGAGGTTCCCTTCTGCAGCCAGCCTGAGCTCAGAAGCCTCCTGGCAGAGAGCTGCAGCCTCTCTCCACCCGTGCAGTGGCAAATGGCACGTGGGCTTTAGAGCCAGCCAATCACAAGCCCACCTCCTCGCAGCTATGCCCCTTGGGCACGGGATCTCATTCTGCTCTTGTCTGTGGCAGCAGCGGAGGACCCCCTTCTTCAAAGGTGGCAGCAATCACAGAGCCAGCATGGAGTAGGGGTATAGGAAGTGAGCAGCACTAAGCAACGACAGGCTGGCTTGGATTTCTTAGCGCCATCAATGACCGCCCTTACTGAAAGTCCTCCACAGAGCCTTTGCTCCATCACCACGGGATC